CTCTTACGTTCCCTTACGTTCTCTTGCGTTCCTTACGTTCTCTTGCGTTCTCTTACGTTCCCTTGCGTTCTCTTACGTTCTCTTACGTTCTTTTGCGTTCTCTTACGTTCTCTTCGCGTTCTCTTGCGTTCTCTTACGTTCTCTTACGTTCCCTTTCGTTCTCTTGCGTTCTCTTGCGTTCTCTTACGTTCTCTTGCGTTTCCTTACGTTCTTTTGCGTTCTCTTGCGTTCTCTTCGTTCTTGTGTCTTACGTTCTCTTGCGTTCTCTTACGTTCTCGAATTGGCCAAGAATTCGGTGATACTGTTGTTTTTTGTTATACTTATTCTTGTTCTTATTTCTATTGTCATTCATTATCGTTGTTTATTACCATTATCAAAATTATCTCATTTTTATTATCATTATTTAAGAATTATGTGATATAGGTTTTTTATTATATTTATTATTATTATTATTATTATTATTTTTATCATTATTATTATGATTTATTATCATTGTTATTATCATCATCATTATAACTAGCATTATTATCATTACTATCATTTAAGAAGCTGATATTATTTTCATTATATTTATTCTTATTCTTATTATCATTTATTATAGTTGTTATAATGATAATAATAATAATTATTATTATTATCATTATTTAAGAAGTCGCTGATATTGTTTTTAATCATATTTATTATTACTATTATTATTATTATTATTATCATTGTTATTATCATTATTATTGTTATCATTAATATCAACATTTATTTTTCTTATAGGGGAAGGGGTTATAGCATTCAAAGGTAATTCTGTCTAATATAATCTAAAATCCCGTTGTGATTATAATGATATAAAAATGGTTTTCTGCATTTGCCTATAAATGTCGATAATGACATTTATAAGCGTTCATAATTCAGAATTAGTGATGGTTTAATTTCGTTAAAAGTGTAGAGATATCAGGAAAAAAATATCTTGGATTATTATATATACTTCAATAGGAAATGGATATTTTTCTCCAGTTCATGCACCATTTCAGCCGCACAAAATATTTGTTCCAGTACAAGCCACGGCCAGTAGAGCTGATCACTCCGCGTAATAAAAATGTCTTCTTTTCTTTTTTTCTTCTTTTTCTACTCCAGAACATCACGCGATCTCTGTGATTTACGTATCTCTGTTATATAAAAGTTTGGCCAGCTACGTAACGACTGATGACGTCACAGCGCGGTCCATTCACCCAAAAAGTACTACCTTAAAAAAAATCAAACAAGTCTCACCTATTAATAGCCTTAACAAACAACAAAAAAACAAACTTTAATAAAAATAAACACCACTTCATATACCATAACGAAGATAATTCCCTTAAAAACGCCGATTTTTTTTTTTTTTTTTTTTTAGAAGACTGTATGCAGAGGATAAAAATGGCAAAAATACCTCATTGGTTCCTCATCCCGCTACATACACGTTCGCCCACAAGCCCCGCCCACCTGTGTCGACGTCACGTGCTCTTCTACGGAATGGAAAGCAGTTACGTCGCTCGTCTGGCAGTAGCAGGACGTACTAACGAGACTCTGCTGGCTGCTTGAGAAGGTTGATCCTGTTGTTAAAGGACCTAAACTGTTTTGTAAGGTAAGGTTGAAGTATTTGTGATTGAAGAAATGTTTTACCTGTCCGTGTAAACTATTAAGAACTGTACTTCATTTTTTTTCTTGGTGACTTCAACGGGCTTCAGTAGTGCTATTAATTTCACCCATTATTTCTTAATCAAGTGATATCTTTTAAGCTATACTTTCACATACTGGTCATATTTATATACCCTTTTTTGTGATAGCGGTGTAACTACTTTCACTCGTGCCTTTCCGTTATATAATTACCATAAGAGAGTTGTCATTTGTAGAATGTTATGGAACCAAACCAGGCGATCCGCAAGCCATAATATTTTCACCGGATGTGTGAGGTCGCGACACCTTATTAAAAATAATGGAGCTATTGACCCACACTGAGAGACCTAATAGAAGATGAATAGATGTATTAACCCACACTAAAAGTCCCAATAAAAGAGGTGTAGATGCATACGTGAAGAATTCCCTAGTTGATATCGTATCCGGTCTGTTTATAGGCATGACTTGGCACTCGTGTAGGCTTGCCCGTCGCTCCTGTATGAGAGCACGAGAAAGTTTTACATTTTTGACTATTTTGCATATCCTGGGCATTACAGACTACACAACCATAGGTGAAATGAATAATTATCAGAGCTAGAACTTGTTATATCAGCTTAAGTGATCATTAAACCCAGTCTTAAAGAACTGACAGGTTAGTATTTCCAGGTCAGGGGCTGGAGAAAAGGAGGAAAAAAATGTCCTCCTTAAAACCCAAGCAAAACAAGGGAAAGTAGACCTTATGCGAAACTCTTATTACCACACAGACACTTATATGCAATCATAGGAAGATATGTGTGCTATTAAACCTTTCTATTCTCAAACGTTTAGTTATTATATCCTCTTTTATTATCCATTATTTGCTGACAATGGAAAGGAACAAATCTGCAATTCAGATTCAACACGTATACAAATACCCATTTCTTAATCTAATTATATACTGATCATTTCTTATTTCTTATTCTTATTCTATTCTCAAACGTTTAGTTATTATATCCTTTTTTATACATCCATTATTTGCTGACAATGGCAAGGAACAAACCTGCCATTCAGATTCAACACGTATACAAATACCCATTTCTTAATCTCATTATATACTGATCATTTCTTATTTCTTATTTCTTATTATATATATCGATTAAATGATTCTAGAATGCTGCTGTTCCTGCCCGTACTGATGACGGCGGTGGGCGTGGCGTGGGGTTTCAGCAGCGGGAACGTGGGGTGGGCGTGCGGCTCCATGTCCCCGGGCCATCTGCTGACGTCCGCCGAGACCGCACCACCGCCTTTCGAGGTCTACGCGGAGGAATACGAGGCGGGGTACTACCTAGGTCGGTTGCTGGTTCGTGGGACTACTTTGTGGTTATTGTTGTTAGTAATATAGGTGTTGTTAGGTGTGTATTATGTTTATCTTTATTATTAGCAGTACTATTTTAGGTGTTGTTTTTGTGTATTATGTTATTATTGTTATTAGTAGTAGTACTATAAGTGTTGTTATTTGTCTATTATTTTTAGTACTATTAGTAATATTTATCATCATCCTTTTCATTATCATCTTCATCTCTCTTATCATTATTATCACTATCATCGTCGTTATCATCACTATAAAATCTATCGTCATTAGCATTATCATAGTATTATTATCAGTATCATTATCATGATTATTTTTATTTCTTCCCATTGTTATTTTTCTCGATATTGGCATTGCTGTTACCTTTGTTATTATTATTTTTCATTGTAATTATCATAATCAATATGAAAATCATTATTAACGTGAGATTCATCGTTATTTAACAATTAAAAAGCAGCAGAATTTTTGTATAATAAATGCGACTCATCTTTCTCAAATATACTTCACTATAAGACGAACAATCACCTCAAAAATTTGGATAGCTCTTTTATGTCTCAAAAGTATGAACAAATATTGTTGACATTTATTTTTCAAAAAATCCAAAAATCAACATATTTACACGACAACATCTACCATCAAGTGTTTCTCTAGAATCTAACCTCACGTGTTTTTTTTTTGTTTTTTTTTTTCTCTCTATTAAGCTATTATTTTCTTTCGACAGTGACGGTCTTCGGCAGGAGGGACCAGTTCAAGGGGCTCCTGATGCAGGCCCACAACCCGAGGAGGAAGCGCGTGGGGGTCTTCACGCAGGTCGAGGGCGGACAGACCCTGAACTGCGGCTACGAAGGGGTAGTGATCGCTTTCTGACGCTTGGAGAGCTCCGGGTTTTTTTGGTGTTCGGGTTTTATTCGTTTCTTTCTTGCTCTCTCTGTTTGTCTGTTTCTCTCTCTCTCTTCTCTCTCTCTCTCTCTCTCTCTCTCTCTCTCTCTCTCTCTCTCTCTCTCTCTCTCTCTCTCTCTCTCTCTCTCTCTCTCTCTGTCTGCTCTCTCTTCTCTCTCTCTCTCTCTCTCTCTCTCTCTCTCTCTCTCTCTCTCTCTCTCTCTCTCTCTCTCTCTCTCTCTCTCTCTCTCTCTCTCTCTCTCTCTCTCTCTCTCTCTCTCTCTCTCTCTTTATGCGGAGGGTGTATGTGGGTGTGTTCGTAAGGTTCTTTTGCCTTTTAATTATTACTCTTTCTTTTCTGCATGTAGCTTTAGTTCCATTTTGTTTACTTTTAAAGAAAAGTTTTGTTTACTTAAAAAATCTTGGCGCATTTGAACTTTCTTCAGATTTAGTCCTATTTTTTTGCATTTTTTCCGCATTTATCTAGTTTTCGTTCTTTTTTATTCGTGATGTGTATATACCATTCACTGTCTGCCTCGTGAACGTCGTGCTGTGTGCATTAGACTTTCTCTTGTATGACTAGTCTTTTCTTACTTCTCTTTGCTTTAACTTACACTTTCATCTTAGGTGTTTCTCTATACACATTAAATGGTTTATTTAGTATATAATGTTGTTCATAGACTGATTCTGGGGGGAAAATCTATGTCCAGGCTTCCTACAACCTCATAGGCCTATATTTCATAGAGAAACGTTAGGAAATGACCTAAAATAGAATTTAATCTTAAGAAACGTTTAAGTATCGGAATGTCAGGTACACAATTCCATGAAAAACTTTCTCGTTAATTCCCTTGTGTCTTCTTAATGACTACAATGCGCTTATTCTCAAGAAAGAGAGGAATGGCAACTCAACCACGACTCGAGAACGCTCCGAATTGGTCTCTTTTGTGTCAATTTAATAAGGTGTTTACGTATGTTTTGTATTTTTAAAACATATTTACACGTTTTCTTCATATTCCTATTGGCATTCCCAGCCTACAGTGCCAATCCATAATAATTTTATCAAAATACGAGACTGCGAATCGGAATGATTAGGCTGAGTTGCCATATATTTTTTTTTCACGACTGCAGT